CCAAGTACTTCCACGTGCTGCTCGACCTCAAGGCGTTTGTGGCGAGCCCGTGCAGCGCCGGCGAGACGGCCGAGCTCTACTTTTCGCTCTACAACCGGGCCGAGTCGCGCTTCCTCACCGAGGAGTTCTGCGTCATCCTCAACCACAACGGCGCGCCCGTGCGCGAGACCGAGGGCCGCCTCAACCGGATGCGCGCCCTCTTCACCGACCTCAGCGCCGCCGACATGCTCGACCTCAACGTCGTCTGCCGCATCGTCCGCACGGGCGCCATGCGCCTCGGCGGCGCCGCTGGCGACCCGACCTACGACGGGCGGATCGTGGAGCGGGGCGACAACGGCGCCGCGTTCCGCAACAGCCGGATGGCGTCGGACCGCACCTTCCGCCGCCCCTTTGGCTGCGCCGTGCTCGAGCTGGGCCAGCACCACCGCTTCTCGCCCGACGCCGCCAGCTCGTCGACGATGCGCGAGCACGTCATGCCCATCTTTGTCCCCGTCAACGAGGCCGCCTTCAGCACGCTCCACCAGGACATTATCGCGTCGCGGATCAAGGAGTTTGAAAAGTCGCCGCGCGCCGACATGCTCGCCGTCAACGTCAAGGTCTTCCACGGCGAGACGTCGGCGCTCATCCGCGAGAACCCGTCGCTGCTGGCCGACACGCCGCTGACGGCGAGGCTCGGCTTCCCCGACGTCGTGTTTCCCGGCGACAAGAGGAACGAGGCGTACATCAAGCTGTGGAGCGGCGAGTTCTACCCGCTCGGCGGCAAAATGTCGGGCGGCGCGCTCAAAAACATCCAGGTGTCGGCCGAGGTGCGGACGCGCGACGGCCGGGTGGTCGAGCACGTCATCTCGCGCGGCGCCGGCGAGGCCCCCGTGACGCAGTTCGACAGCATCGTCTTCTACCACCAGAACGCGCCGACATGGGGCGAGCTGCTCAAGCTGCAGCTGCCCCACGACATCATGGAGGACTGCCACATGTTCTTCTCGTTCCGCTACCGCAGCTCCAAGGAGGAGCGCGCACTCGCCTCGGCGGCATCGTCGACGGCAGCGTCGTCCAACGGCGCGGGCTCGTCGTCGTCGGCGTCAGCGTCGGCGTCGGCGTCGTCGTCGCAGGTCGCCGCGCAGCAGCAATCGCAGCGGCCCTTTGCGCACGCCTACCTGCCCCTGTTTGAGTCCAACCGCGCCTTCATCCCCGACGGCAGCCACACCCTCTTCCTGTGGCGGGTCAACCGCCCACCTTCGCAGATCGGACCGGACCTCTACTTCAACCTGCCGCCCGTGGTGCCCGCTGGCCGCACGCCCGCCGAGGCGGTGCCGGCCAACCTCGCCGCCACCGTCCAGCCGCTGCGCGACATCCTCACGCTGCGCACCTTCCTCGTCTCGACCCAGTACACGCAGAACGACGTGCTCCTCGAGCTGCTCAACTGGGAGCGCGCGCTGTCGTCCGACTTTGAGGAGCTGCGCAGCGTCCTGACCAAGTTCACGTTTGTCGGCGAGGTCGAGATTGTCAAGTTCCTCCGCGACATCTTTGACGCCCTGTTTGGCATCGCCGCCTCGAACCGCAACGCGCGCGGCGAGCTCGACGACCTCGTCTTCAACGGCCTCGTCACCGTGCTCGGCATCGTCCAGGACCGAAGGGTGAGTGGGCCGTTCATTGCGCGGCGGGCTCCCGTGCGGGCGGCCGCCGAAGCCGCACTCGCTCCGGATCCCCGGTCTTGCCGCTGGTCGCTGACCTGGGCGCGCCTCAACCCCCTCAATGTTGCCCTCCCGACCTGACCACGTCGCCGCCGTTGCGTTCCCTCCCCCGCCCCCTTTGCTCGCCGGCCGGCAGTTCACCAACTTCCGAGCGACTCTCGACGTCTACATCGAGCGGCACTTCCGGTACACGACGGCCCACACGCGGCTGATTGCGTCGATGTCGAAGCTGCTGGCCGATCCGGGCCGGCTCGAGACGTCAAAGGACCTGCGCGCGGCCATCAAGGTGTGGCCCTACCTGTTCCGCTTCATCATCCAGAGCCGGCAGAACCAGCGCGGCGATCGCGGCGTCGGTGGCGGCACCGTGCTCGACCACCTCGAGGCCGGCTTCAAACGCGAGCTCGACGGCCTGCTGCGCAGCATCAACAGCCTGATGAGCACGACCAAGCCGAGCTCGATCATCGGCACCCAGACGCTGGCGCTGCAGCACTTTGCGGGCATCCTGCCGGACCTGTCCAAGGCGTTCACGCTCGACGAGCTGGTGCGGATCGCCATGTCGTTCACCGACAGCGTCTTCATCACCAAGGGCAGGATGGCCATCTGGAAGCTGCTCCACATCCTCCAGATCAGCCAGGGCCCGCTCTTTGAGAGCCACGCGGCGCGCTCGCAGCTGATCCCCAGCGTCGTGCGCTGGATCCGGCCGCACCTCGGCCGCTACGACGAGGCGTCGCACGTCGGGCCCAACGAGCTCGAGACGGCCCGGGACACGGCGCGCGTCGCCTGGTTCGAGGCGGCGCGCCTCAGCGTCACCATCCTTGCCGTTATCCTCGACCGCCTCCAGACCAGCCTGGCGGCCGTCGCCCGGCAGCGCGGCCAGGCGTCCTCGGCCGCCGCCGACGCCGAGCTGCGCCAGGAGCAGGACAATGTCGACTACGTGCTCAGCACCATGCCGAAGCTGCTCGAGACCTACCAGGAGTTTGGCAGCCGCGCCATGATCAAGACGCTCCAGCGGCACCGCGCGCCCTCGACGACGGCCTCGACGGTGCCCGTCATCTTTCCCTCG